TAGCCCCACTGGTCAGCCTTACAGACCAGGCAGTGGTTACACATACCTTTAATTCCAGTGATCACACTAGTTGCCATAGAAATTGGGTGGTGCATGCCTTTAATCCCAGTGGTGCACGCCTTTAATCCAGCCCTGAAGAGGAATATAAAACGGGAAGCGACAGCTCACAAGCTCAGTCTCATTCTGAGGTTTCTTGGAGGCAGGATTATCATTTTTGGACTGAGGTCAAGGTAAGAATCAATGGCTGGCCACTTGCTTTTCTGATCTTCAGGTTGAACCCCAATATCAGTTTCTGTATTTTTATTAATTATGCTTCACCTGTCCCTTCGCATCTGTCCTCCACCCCTGCACTCCAATCCCAAAAATTTAAGAGAAAAAAGGAAAAAGTAAAAATCTAGTTATGGAAGCTGTAGTATAACACAGTGAGTCACCTAATAAATCCTTTTGTCCATGCATCTTTACTTGCAAGTGTGCACTGCAGGAGGCCATTGGTCTGGTTCGAGGCCTCTGGTTTCTGCTACACTATTGACACTGGGCCCTCACAACAACACAATGAAGTTTTTAATCTATGAATAAAGCTTTAGCTATTAATTGAGAGGTTTGGGCTATGAAAGCCAGTCAATTGTTTGACCCCATTGTTAGGGGGAGGCAAAATCAGGGGATCAGTTCTCGGAGGAGCTTTTTAGCTACTGTTTGAGCAGTTCCTGTCCAGTTGGGGAACACTTCTACCCGCCTGGAAACGGTGTCTATAAAAACTAGCAGGTATTTTTATCGTCTCCCACAGGCCGGATATTGGTGAAGTCAGTTTTCCCATAGTCCACTGGGATGTTGGTCTCTCATTTGAATCCCTGCCTGGGTAAGGGGGTCTTAGTTTTAGATTCACTTGAGCACAAACCTGGCATCTGGCTGAGACATCCTACGCTAGGCTGTCCAGTCTAGGTATAACATTCCTAGGTCTAAGCAACTCTGAAAGTTTTGTGGACCCCCAAAATGAGGATCCTGGTGAAAGTTAGTTCCGGGACAGCCAGTGCTACACAGAGAAACCCTGTCTCAAAAAACAAAGCAAACAAACAACACAAAAGGAAACATGTTTCCAATCTGGTGCTCCTAGTAAGTTAGTTTGGGAAATACTTCACTTAATGACATACTCCTTTTTAAAAGGAGTTATCTTTCTTCTATAACACTAAGTAGATTTGATGAAACTCATGAATATAGGTAAAACCTATCTTGCCTCTCCCTTCCTTAAGATGTAGTGTGTGATCAGAGCACTGGACTGAGTTCCCAAGGTCCAGTTGAAGAGCCCAAAGAGGGAGAATATGAGCAAGGAAGTCAGGACTTCGAGGGGTTGGTCCACCCACTGAGACAGTGTGCCTGAGCTAATGGGAGCTCACCAAATCCCGCTGGACTGGGACTGAACGAGCATGGGATTAAACTGGACCCTCTGAATGTGGCTGACAATGGGGGCTGACCAAGAAGCCAATGATAATGGCACTGGGATTTGTCTCTCCTGCATGTAGCGGCTTTTTGGGATCCTATTTTATTTGCATGCATACCTTCCTAAACCTGGATGGAGGGGAGAAGGCCTTGGACTTCCCACAGGGCAGGGTACCCTGTCCTCTCTTAGGACTGGAGGAGGAAGGGGGAAGGGTGAGTGGGGGAGCAGGAGGGAAATGAGAGGGAGGAAGTGGAAATTTTGATTGGTATTATTTATAAAGTAATAAAACAAGATGCTGTGTGTGATGACATTCAAGGAAACTTCTCTGCTATTTGCTGAATTTTTGAAGTTAATCTTTAAAATCTTTCATTTATAGATGATAAAATTGTTGTACATTTGGATGCACATCAAAAGGATTGATTTAATAACTAGAAAAAATTTTCCTTTCAGCCATTGTCTTATATGTTTAGCATAGTTTTTCAGTTCACCGGCATATAATATAGGATCATTATTAGAACCCAGGTGAAGTCATGGCACACAGGAGAAACATGAAGGGCAGGCAGTGTTAGAAGACAGAAGCTGTTATCATTTGAATGTGAAGAATCCACCCAAAAGGCTCACATATTAAAGACTTGTTCCCTAACTGGTGAGTCTGCTGAGAGGTGCACACTGTCAGATGGTGGCTCTGGAAGAAATAGGTCAGTGAGGGCATGCTTTGAAGAGTGTGTCTTGTCCTTATTCCCTTTCTATTCCTTTCTTTCTATCCACCATGATGTGAGCCGTTTTTCTCTACTAGATGCTTTTTGCTAGAGTGGTCTGCTTTATCACAGCCTGAAAGCAAATGAGCCAGCTGGCCATTGACCAAAATCAGTGAAATTGAGAATCAAGATACCTTTTTCCTTCCATACATTGTTTGTCTCACACATGCAGAGGGACTAGGTCAATCCCATGCAGGTCCCCTAGCTGTTGGTTCAGAGTCTGTGAGCTCCCATGAGCTCAGGACCCCTGACTCACACAATCCTTCCTGTCTCTCTGATTGTGGAACTCCTAGCAGTGGGAACAGGATCTGTACCTGGCACTTGAACTGGCTTTTGGGAACCCAACCCTCAAACAGGGTTGCCTTGCCCCATGCAGGGGGAGGAGCTTGGTCCTGCCTCAACTTGATGTTCCATGCTATGCTGACTCTCAGGGCAGGCCTGCCCTTTCTAAATGGAGACAGAGGAGGGGTGCATGGACAGGAAGTAGAAGGGAAGCAGGGGAGGAAATGGAAAGATAGGCAGGAGGGGAAACTGGTCAGTATGTAGAATAAATGAAAATAATTTAATAAACATGTTTTTAAAAAGTTGTGCCATGGGAAGGTATAGAGATGGGGTATATCTGGGAAGAGTTATGTGGAGCAGTGGGGTTAATATGATCAAAATACTTTGTATATATGTAATGCTCAAAGAATTAATAAAACTATTATATTAAAATGGGTGAATAGCTTCAATAAGCTGTTATTCAAAGATATAGAAAGTTTCTTTCAAGAAAAATCAGAAATAAAAAATAAGAAAAATAAAAAATGCACAACAATCTTTGATAAAGAGCAAACAGAGAAGAGATGATATACTAGACAGATTTTTTCTTTTTTAATTTTATTTTCCATTCAAAATTTCCACTTCCTCCCCTCCTCCCATTCCCCTCCTGCTCCCCCACTCCCCCCATTCCCTTCCCCTCCAGTCTTAAGAGAGGGCAGGGTACCCTGCCCTGTGGGAAGTCTAAGGCCCTCCCACCTCCATCCAGGCCTAGGAAGGTGTGCATCCGTACAGACTAGGATCCCAAAGTATATGTAATAGAAACAAGTCCCAGTGCCATTATCAATGGCTTCTCAGTCAGCCCCCATTGAACTAGACAGATTTTTAAAGGTAACACTGGATTTTTGTTTTGCTTTATTTTAATATGTGATGCTTTGTAGAAAGTTTATGTGCCAGTGGGAATCATTGAGTAGAGAAAGGTACATTTGTGGAAGGGAGCATCAGGATTATTGCTAGGGCTGTGCACTGACTGGATCAAAAGGCTTGGAATTAGTTGATCATATACGAGGCTGGATGTTGACAGAGGGTGGACAGTTATCCAAAGTGATGAAAGGACAAGCAGAGTGTTTACTCAGATACATGGGATGCTTCCTTTACTTGTACCTCCTTATCATGAGGATGTGGCCATCAGAGGATTAGATGCTGTGTGGAGAACAGATGAGGCAGGACCTGCAATGCATACAAGTAGAACGAGTAGAGTTCCCAAAAACAGGTGCACATCCATGGACACATACCTTGAGAGCATATGTCCCCTCACATATTTCTTTAATAACGATTGTAGGGGGCAAGCAGTACTTTATTGCCAACATATGCATTGGCTCACGGGGAAGAAAATGTGCTCTGCTTCTTTTCAAAATTCAGGCATGGAAGATGGGGTGGCTCACGGACTGTGTGTGTTTCGGGGAGGGGGAGGTGGCCAAAGGACTACTCCTCACCAGCTGGGAGTTATTTTCCTTTAGAAAGTGAGACCCTTTGCCACATACACTTCAATAAGCTTTGATGTTCAGTGACAGCAGCAATCTCCTACTCTGGCTTCTGGTTGCCATGGCAATTCTGCTGGGGCTAGGAGCTCTACTCTTAGTGCAAATAACTGGAGCCTACGAGTATAGAAAGTAGTATTGAGAGGGAGGGGGAACTTTTACTGAAAAGAATAACCTCATGCATTTGAATTTTTATGATCACTTCCTGTGCCCTACTTCAGGTACTCACACTGTCAGTACTAGACCAGGCCAGGTACACTGTAAACAGAAATCTTAAACCAAACAGGAGATGCTGGCTTTCCCCAGAAGAAGCCATTGTATTAGGAATTTGTCACTTGCTCACAATCCAGGTGGTACCACTGTCCTTTTATTAGTGGAACCCAGTGTTGGGAATAGGCACTAAAACAACCCCATTATAAGGGCCAGGTATATTAATTAAAAATCTCTCTCTCTTTCTGTGTGTGTGTGTGTGCGTGTGCGTGAGCGCGCGTGTGTTTACGTCTGCATGGAGTAATGTATTTTCCAATTGTTTATCTAAAGAAGCTAGAAGAGGGTGTTGGATCCCATGGCACTGAAGTTACAGGTAGATGTGAAATACTAGATGGTTTCTGATAATGAGATTCAAGTCCTCTAGAAGAGTAGTACAGAATATTCCCTGCTCAGCCATCTCTTAAGAACAAGGGAAGGTACCTTACTGGGAGCAAGAGATGCCCAACAGGCTTAGCAGGTTCAACAACAGGGGCAAAGTCAAACATACAACTTTACGAGTATGTTCCCAAAAGGGCTCCTATAAGCTCCCTCTTCATCACGAAAACTAGGTACATGAAAGGGAAGGTCATGCTCAGAAGGGTAAGGTTATACCTAGAGGGGGATATTCAAAGGGTCATGTCGTGACATCCTAATTCAGGCAATCACACTTAATAACAGGCACCCCACCTACAACTGATGTTGCCTCATTCTTCCCCTACCAAAGCAAACAGGGGAAGAAATGAAGTCAGGAGTCGGGGTTTGAACCAAGGCCCGAGATGGTGAGCTGCCTCTGCTCTTCAGCTATGAGCCTCCTTGTCCGAATTCCAGGATTCTTGCTCAGCCATCCAAGTTTCCAGAACCACAATCAGTTTTGAGTGTCAGTGTCCAGACCCATAATGGTTTAATCTGCCCAGTGGCCTGTTGCTATGGCAATTCTGCAAGAGATTTATTCAGTAGATGAAATGAAAGGCAGCAGGAAACTTGGGCGGGGGCTTAGGCACATAGGAAAGGGGGTCCAATTATAATTTGAATGTCTTAATTGCACTAATTGGTACATGTGGGATTAAAAACGCACAAACACAGACCAGAACAACAGGGGACCTGTTTGGGACCAGCAAGTTGCAAAAGGTCCTTTCATTGGCGAAAATGCCACAAAGTAACGGGGAAGGTGAGGGAGGGGCCAAGAAATTAGGACTCAGGGTGAATTGTGTGACTGCCCTGTCTGTCCCGCTGAATGGCCTTTAGCACTGCAGATTCCAGTTGCTGCTTGGGGCCGGTTGAGAGGGACTCATTCAGAATGGTTGCCCTGAGAAGGGAAGAGGTGACCTTTCCTGGCTTGGAGGCCTAGGACACAGGGCACAGAGATGACACAAGGGCCCACAGCTTGGAGCCCAGGTTGCGAGGGTTTTCAGCATTCACTGGCCGTGCCCCTCACATCGCTGCAGCCAGGACCTGCCTTGTTTGTCTCCTTTTCGCCAATATTTTGGACTCTTTAATCAGCTTAGGTGTCTAATGGCTCAGTCATGGCTTAATTGGCCCTCAACTCTGGTTGCTATGGTGATGCAGACAGGAGCTCTTCTCACTAAGTTAAAATAGGAGAGAACCAAGGTGGAGGGAGACAGAAAACGACACAGGCCAAGACTGAAGATGAGAACACGTTAATTACACTAACTAACATTCTTCGGTGATTAAAAGCCCATAAGCACAGTCCGCAGGGCCAGGACGAGGGGACCTGGAGGCTTACCTGGGCACAAAAGCATCCAGCACAGAGGAAACCGATCCATAAGACACGTCCAAAAAGAAATCCAGAGAATGACAGAGACTCTGTATCTCTAGTGGGGATCTCTGGTGAGCGGTTCAGAAAGACACGGGCATAGGGGTTGGGTCAAGACCCTCACCTGAGGACTCCATGACATGCTGTCACCCGGGGAAACTGAGGCTCAGGAGTGAAGAGACTGGAATTCAATGCATGCTGCAAAAAAAGCAGAACTGCATGGACTACTGGGTTCTGGACCACCCAGAACTCTGGCTCCCATCAAGCCTCCAGTTGAAGCCAGCATGGTCCTGCCCCTCATTTCACAGAATCCTGAAGCCCTGAGGGGGAGTGGCCTGTTCATAGTCACAGAGTCCAACATGGCAGGACACAGCTGTCCTTGCACTTAATGCAGACTCAGACAATGGCACATGGCCAAGGGTGACCGTGGGAACACGGAAGGATCGCTGGGTTTTATAGACAGTCTGCGTGACTTGAAAGGCAGGATGAGAATTCTCCCAGGGACTTTGAGTTCTGGAAGCAGATAATGCTCCTTCAGAGGGAGGTGAGAAGCCAAGGAAAGGGAGGAAGGACCTCCTTCCTGCCCACTCCTGGGAGTTCGCTGTGGACTAGCTCCTTCCTGAGCAGTGTCTGGAAAGGATTTCCAGAGACTTTTCCCTGGGACATCTTGCCTGGGGACACCTGGTGTTAATTTGAAGGGTTCTGATAGCCTTTCTGCAATAGGGTACAGGGCAAAGGCATATTCCACTGTGAGGGGATCACATCCCAAACACTGACCTCTAGGCTGCAGGCAAAGCTGGAAGTGGATCCCGGGTGTCAAGATGAGGAGATCTGGGCCGTGTGTATGGGGTGCACAGCTGCAGTTAGAGCACCTTCCACATGCCCACCCTTCTCAAGCAATGATCCCTGGAACATGCACTCACCTAGGTGTTAGCGGACATGGTGGGAGCAAGGCAATCTGTGCGCTTTCCTAAGGACTGAGGACCCTGCTCCTGACCAGAGACAAAGGTTGTGTGGCTCTAACCAGGATGCTTTTCTTCTCTTCTTTCCCTCTGGGTGTGTTTTATTCAATTAGCTAACAAAGCACAGGTTTCCTTCCAGCATTCCCATACATGCTTTGCTTTGGTTGACTCTCGTCTGGCCTTGCACACTCAGAACACTCGTAGCCCTGACTCTCATTTCCACAGCTGTGCCCTTTTGCCCCCAATCTGCCTGCATTTCACTTTAATATCTCATGTTCTCCCCACCCCTCAATCAAACCCTATTTTAATTTTGAGACAGGGACTCGTGTTGTCCAAGATGACCCTTAATTCACTGTGTAGCCAGGGATGACTTTGAAGTCCTGATCCTCTATTGTCCACTTCTCAAGTTCTGGGATTACTGGTATTAGCCACCACATCCTAATCTTGGAGGCTCTGAAAGGACAGCTGGAGAGAATGGCGGCTGCACTCAAGGGCAGCACAGAATGACTCAAAACCAATAGTGAAGAATTAGGGGAATCTGTGACTCACCAGCTGGTTGTAGAAGGGCCGGCGAAGTTTGCAGGATTACTTTAACACTGATCTTTGGATTTTTGGAGTTGCTGGACTCTTGGCAGCTGGGTCAGAGTGAGACTTTCTGAGTGGACCAAGAAAATGTTTTAGCAAAGAGCAGACATGACTCAGGAAGCCTCCACCGTGCCAGGCCAAGCAGAGGTATCAAGAGCACTGAGGTGGTTGGTAGAGTGGAATCCTAAGTAGACACCTGGAGGAGGTTTGGGCTGGAGAGGGAATGAAAGTGAAATGGGAAGTGAAGATAAAGGAGACAGGGAAGAGGAAAGGAGGAGAGGGCAGACGGACCAGAGAGGAAAGACGAAAAGATGAAGAAGCAATTGAGAAGAAGCAGAAAGAGTCGAAGGGAGACAGAGAACTGACAGGAAGATGAACCTTTTCCACCACTGCGTGTTGGTCTAATAAATGTCAGACAGGCTCTTGAGACATGGCTCCATTGGTAAAGTGCTTACTGCACAAGGTTGAGGACTTGAATTCAGTCTCCAGCACCCAAATAAGAGCTGGACCTGCTGAAGGCATCTTTGACTCTGCACTGGGGAAGCAGGGTCAAGAGGATCCCCAGGGCTGTTCAGTGAGAGACCCAGTCTCGAACAATAATGGAGAAAGTGACTGTGGAAGACACCAGAGATTACACACACACACACACACACACACACACACACACACACACACACACACACTACACACGCACAAACAGAAAGAGAGAGGGTATGGTGGGGACCTACAGTACTGCCTTCCCCGTGAGAAGCTATAGCTGATGGACAACACACCCATGTGGTCACACACCTCCACAGTGTACCACTCTCACGGGAGTACCAAAGGTATCAGTTGAGAGAGGATGACACCCCACCTGTGTGTGTGCTTGCCCAATAGTTGCCTAGACCGGTGACTGGAGCTGACCTCCTCTTGTCCCCTTGTGCACAGCTGTGTAGCCTTGATCCTCACCACCTACACGAAGCACAGCTGCATCCTGACCCATAGGAGGAACTTCCATGCCCAGTGACAGCACGTACTCTTCCCTTCTAATCTGCACAGGGGAAGACATTGACAGCATCAGTGCTGGCTCCTTTGCAGATGTATTTTCATGTGGGCATGGGGGGGGGGTGGCCCGCTAGTCCTTTAAGATCCAAATTCACATTCTCAACCAAGCCTCATGTCCCAGCAGGAAGTCTGTGGCAGCCTGCCCTTTTCCCGAGTGCCTTCAGCTGTCTGTCACACAGGGCTTGGGGACATTGCCTCCTCCTGGGACCCTCAGTGTGATCTGGTGAGCTATATGCCTCTAGGAAGGACAGTTCCTGACACAGGTTTTATTTTGTCACCTGACTGGTCTCTGGGGATTGATTCATAGAGGAACCTGTCCCAGAGATGCACAGGTGTGTGCTCAGTCAGCTCCCAGAATGAGACTCATGGAAGGTCCTCTGTTCTGCAGGGTACCCAACAGCTTGCTAGCAGACAAGGGGAGAACTTGGTGGAAGAACACAAGCCCCTCCTCTGTCACCTAGAGGAACTGCAATTCCATTTTAGAGCTGCACATCCACCAGGAAACTGCAAATGAAAGCAGCCTCTGCTGTGGGGTCACAGGGTGTGTGTGCACACCATTACCGAGAGGCTGAGTGTGGGAGTCGGGCTCGTGACCCAGGCCTGTCTCTGTAGAAAGCAGGGATCTGTTTTTTCGGGAAAGGTCTTGCTGCATCCTGCAGCAGTGGCCAGTGATAGTGCACAGTGGAGAAAGCCAGGAAAAGCAATTTTACGAGGTTCACAGACACAGCTAAAAAAGATTGCTGCTGGAGAGGCATCTGCACATGCACAGAGACAATGGACAATGTGTCCCTGGGGGCCAACAAAACTTTATCAGCTCTCTCATAATTAAGCATCGGATGCGTGTTAGCTGGCCCTGATCTTTGCATAGAATTCCTTTCCCCGTTCCTGTCTCTCTGCTGCTGTTTCCCCAAGGAAGTTGCTCCTGGAACACTTTGCTCTGCAACAGAAATCTTGCCTTTTACAAATATCCAAGTAATTGAGGACACAGGATTTAAATGAATACAAAAATGAAAAGTGAATGCTGGTCATATTTTTATTCATATAAAACCAAATAACAGCCCAGAAAATTTTCACACCTTGGAAATTAAAAGCAAATTCAAAACTGCAATCAGGTTCTATATAAAAGTATTGACAAAACACTTTCCAAGACCTATCTGATGATGATAAAAAGCCTTAAAGAAGTTATTAGGATTTTCCACCAATGGAAGAAATGCAATTTTGTATTCAAAATGATGGAATAAATGTATAATAATCAGTAGAGTACTATTATAAAAGCAAAAATATGTATCTTTAAGGATTGTTGCTGGATATGGAGAACCAGAAATCAGGTGTGTTTTATGTTGTAATTGGGCAAATAAATTTTATTTTTAATAATTGGGATTATGGGATTTCTTAATGATTGTCTATGTAAGACTTACAAAATTCAATTTTGCTCTTTTCTTGTATTAACTTCCTGAGCTGCATTTAATGTGTCCATAAGTTAGATATGATGGTGCCTAACGGGCTTAGAGCTGAATTAATGTGTATAAGTGGAAAATTAACCATGAAACAGATGTCCAGAAGCATGTGGCAGGGAATTTTATAAAATGTGTAATGGTTAGTGCTAACTGTCAACTTCACATGATCTAGATCCCACTAAGAGACCTGTCTCCAGGAACAGCTATGAGAGATTTTCTCTATTAGGTTAATTGAAGTGAGAGGACCTGGCCAATGTGGACATAGGCATTCCGTGGCCTGAGATTCTATACTGAATAAAAAGAAAAGAATGTGAACGCAAACATTCATAGCCCTCTGTTTCCTAAGTTCAGATGCAATGTGACTAGTCAGCCTCCTGTTCTTACTACCATGCCTTCCCTGCCTCATGTCACATCCTTTCTGCCATGATAAACTGTGTCCCTCTGGAACTGTAAGCCAAAATTAAACCCCTTTCCCTTTAAGTTGCTTTTGGCAGGGTATTTTATCGCAGCAAGGGGAAGTAACTAAGACATATGGCTATGATGGGAATGTCCCATCTCTAACTTTAAGAAACCAAGTGTTTTACACTCTGTATGCTTTGAAGCAGAAGTATTTTATGCTTTCCTGAATATATTTGCCAAGCCCTGATTCTGCTCTTCTAGATCTTTTGTACATATAGGCCAGCACAGGGAGACAGAATGTCTCTATTACACAAAGAGATCATCCAAGGGTATCTCTAGGTCTTGGAGTTCTAGGGATCCAGTTCCTTTTTTAAAGTTCCTGAAGACATGGTGGTGACAGACCTGCCAGCCTTCATCCTTGCACTATTCCTTCCCTGATATTCATTTCACTCGACATGACTCAAGGGGTAGAGTACACAGGAGAGAATGTGTGTTTCTATTTATAATGTGATGACACTGTCATAAATACTGCATATATATTATTGCATGTTTCAGTATTGCTGTGTGAATATTGGTACCGTGACAGAAATGCTTTAACTTTCATTGAGGAGCTTGAACTGTGTGGAGTATTAATATGGAAAATTTCACCTATACTGTGTCAAATCTCTGTGCTCTCCATTTATAGTACTTGAACTTATTTCATAAAATTCTTCTGTTGGCTTTTAAAATATAGTCCATATATGTTCATGTGCTGGGGAGGTTTGTGTCATCTTGACACAAGCTATAGTCGTATGGAAACAGGGAACCTTGAATGCAAAATATGCTTCCAAATAATTGGCCTGTAGGCAAATCTGTGGGGGCATTTTTCAAATTAACGATTAATGTGGGAAGACACAGATCACTGTGGGCTGTACCATTCCTGGGCAAGTAGTCCTGGATTGTCTAAGAAACCAGGCTGAGCAAACCAGGGAAAACAAGCTGATAAGCAGCAGCCCTCCATGATCTCTGCTTCAGCTCCCACTTCTGTGTTCCTGACTTGGCTTCTGGGGGTAATGAACTATGATTTATAAGCTAAAATTCACCCTGTCCTCCATAAGTTGCTTTTGGTCATGGTGCTTTACACACACATCAACATAAAGCAAGCTACAACACTTTCTTTCTCCACTTCTGGTTCTTTCATCATTGATGTATACTAAACATGAAGAATGTCAAAATCAAAATGCAAGAAAGTCCCAAACATATCTATGTGAGTTTTTTAACCCTTTTTAGTCCATCACTCCTGTGTTTCCATTCCCAGATATTGATCTATATAATATCTGTTAATCTTAGGAATTTTATAGAACCACACAGCATGTTTTCTTTATTGTTGCTTCAATAACATGGTATAGTACTTTTAAACTTCATCCATGCTATTGAATGCATCTGTGATTCTGAGTATTTTATGGTTGAGAGCTAATTATTATATTAATACATACATTTTGCTTTTTCTATTTTTT